TGGCTGTTAAATGAAACATATGTATTTACCTTATTCCTCCTGCTAAACATAGCTAAAACCCTTGGACATCATATGCAGAACAAATATACAACTCAGAAGTTGGCCAGAAGATGGCAGCTCATTAGGGATCTCAGTTTTCTGGGTTTTCTTTTTACCTCATTCATTATCTCCCACTGAGCACTAGAGAAGTGGGCGACTTGAAAACACCAACAGGAATAGACAAAGGGCCAGGGAAAAGACAGTCTATCAAGACATGAAATGTTTAGACAAAAACCATGCTCCAACCAAGCATGACAAAAACCAAAAAAAAAAACAACCATCAACCCCTTTCCCAACAAACTGGTCTCACAATTGACAATAAAGGCCCACTATAGCCCAGATCAATGGTGATCAGGTCATTAGGTCCCAAGACCCCTCACTAGTATGAGATGGTATTAGAGGAAGCTGAGAAGAGATTGCACAACTGCTCAGCAGGAATAAGGCCGTGTCGGGAAGAGTAATGAAGCACATTTATGTATATCTGTAAGGTACCAATCAAAAATAAATGAAGACCAGGTGTAGTAGCACATGCCTGTAATCCTAGTGGCTTAAGAGGCTAAGGCAGGAGGATTACAAGTTCAAAGCCAGCCTCAGGAATTAGCAAGGACTTGAGCAACTTATCGAGACCCTTCTCTAAATAAAATATAAGGACTGGGGATGTGGCTCAGTGGCCAAGCGTCCCTGGGTTCAATCCCTGGTACCACAAAAATAAAATAAATAAATAAGTAAAAGGAAGACCAGAAGAGGAAGAAGAATGTGGGGAGGGAAAAACAGGGATACCAGTATTGAAATGGAGTAAATCAAATTCCATACATGTATGATTCTGTCAAAATGAACCTATTATTTATAACTATAATGCATTAAAAAACCCACAAAACAACAACTGTGCGCTAGATGAACTTCTTTTCTCCAAAAGTATCCAGCCTCAAGTATTTCGACATAGCAATAGAAAATCAAACTACAGACCAGAAGAAATAAAAATGAACAGAGCCACAGGTCCTATGGGACTATGACAAAAGACCCAATGTTCTAGTCACTGGAGTTCTAGAAAGATGGGACAAATGTCTAAAATTTTCCATACTAATCAAGACATAAAACTACATATTTAAGATGCTGATTAGTGTCAAATCAATTCAATGAGGGAACAAACAGTCTTTTCTACACATAATATTGGAACAACTGGTATACATGTACAAAATACACAAAAACTTGTACCAGACACAAAAACTAACTTAAAAAGGAAGATAGAGGTAACAGATAAACATTATAGAACTCTTAGAAGAAAACATCAGAGTAAATCTTTGTGATCTTGGGTCAGTAAACACCTTTGATGACACCAAAAGGAAAAACTGATAAACTGGACTTGATAAAAAATAAAACTACAGAGTGCTTGCCTAGCATGTGCAAGGGCCTGGATTCAATCCCTGGTATTACAAAATAAAATCTACTGTGTTTCAAAGGACACCAAAAACATCTATGAGAATGGCAGAAAATATTTGTGAATCATATAGCTGATAATGGGGTTATATCTGCAATATATAAAGAATTCTTCTTCTCCTACCCCCAGGAGAACTAGAGATTAAACCAGGAATCTACATTTGCTAGTCAAGTGCTCTAACACTGAGCTACATCCCTGGTCCTTTTGTTATTTTGAGACTTATAAAGTTGCCTAGGCTGGACTCAAACTTGACATCCACCTGCCTCAACCTCCCAAGTCACTGAGATTAATAGGAATGAGCCACCATGCCCAGTTTATATTAAAAACTCTTATAATGCAACAATAAAAAGATAATACAATTCAAAATGGGCATTTGCTGGGTGTGGTGGTGCATACCAGTAATCCCAGCCACTTGGGAGGCTGAGGCAGAAGGATTGCCAATTTGAGGTCAAGCGTGACAACTTAACAAGACTCTGTCTAAAAATGAAAAATAAAAAGGGCTGAGGATATAGTTCACTGATACAGTGTCCCTGGGTTCAATCCCTAGTACCTGCCTTGCCCCTCCAAAAAAGCAAAGGATCAGAGCAACTTATCGAGACCTTCTCTAAATAAAATATAAGGACTGGGGATGTGGCCCAGTGGCTAAGCGCCCCTGGGTTCAATCCCTGGTACCACAAAAATAAATAAATAAAAGGAAGACCAGAAGAGGAAGAAGAATGTGGGGAGAGAAAAACAGGACACTGAATAGAAATTACCCAAAGAACATATACAAATGGCCAATAAACACTTGAAAAGATGGTAAACATTAGCCACTAGAGAAATGCAAATCAAAAAGCATCTGATAAAAATAACTTTAAGTTCATAGTAAATACTATACAAGTTAGGAACAGCCTGGTAAAGGACATCTACAAAATTCCTATAGCTACCATTGTATTTCATAATCCAAACTGAATATTTTATCTAGAAATTAGCAACAAGGAAGGATTGTTGACTCTTCACCCACTTCAATGTTGTGTTGAGGCCCCTAGCCAGTGCAAAAAGGTATAAAACAGAAACACAAAGTGTATTTTTATTTCCAGTCTATAGACAGGAAAGTAAGAAATGCAACTATTTGAGACCACATGCTCATCTATACAGAAAATCCCAAAGTATTCTCAAAAACAAAAACAAAAGCTGGGCATGGTAGTATGTCAGTAGTACCAGCTACTCAGAAGGCTGAGGCAGGAGGATTACTTGAGATCAAGGAGTTTAAGACCAGCCTGGGCAATACTCTGGGTTATCTACAGATGTGGCTTTTTCAGTACTTTCATCTGTCACTGGCAAGACTGTTGTACCTAACAGGACCCCAGGGAGAGCCATGTATTGTAGCCACCAGACTGTGAAGCAAAGCTTTCTGAGTAGAATATTTAAATTACATGAGAAACCACATAACTACACCATGATCACATCACATTTCTCCACTGTATGGGCCAAAGATATTACAATGAGGACTTGTCCAAGGCCTGGGTTATACATTAACCCAGGACCACCCCCTCATCCAGGCTAAGAATTTACTCAAACCTTTTTCAGGGATTGACATGCATTCATTGGTCTTTGGCTTCCTATTCCTTAAAATAAGTATTTAAAGTCTTTGGTGCCTCTCCTATTTTTTGGACTTGAAGAGATTACTAAACAGATCCTGCTATCATAGTTGCCTGGGATTTACCTCAGTCTAGAGACTCATGGAAAATTCTCTCTCTTTTTCAGCTGTATTTACTCTCTTTTCCAGGGCTTCCAATCCATCTGTATTATCTTTTATTTCTTCCTTTTTTACTACTACTTTTTTATTTTAGTACTGGGGATTGAACCTAGGGGCACTCTACCACAAGCTATATTCCCAGCCCTTTTTGTTATTTTTTATTTTGAGACAAGGTCTTGCTAAATTGCCCAGGCTACCTTGAACCTGCAATCTCCTGTCTTAGCCGCATGAGTCACTAGAATAATAGGCATGCACCACCACTCCTGGCTTTCTTTTATTGTTTTTTTTTTCCAGATTAAAGACCACTCTCCTTATTAAACATTCTCCTGTTAAGATTTCAATCTCTACCTATTCTATTCTTGTTTATTTCTTTAAAATACAGAGTTCAATACATATACAAACTATGAAAATACACATGCTAAATAGAATTTGAGCCTAGAATAGTAAGGCATGCTTGTAATCCCAGTGATCTGGGAGGCTGAAGCAGAAGGATTGCAAGTTTGAGGCCAGCCTAGGCAATTTAAGAGAGCACAATCCTGTCTCAAAATTAAAGACAGACAACAAAAGAAATAACCAACTGGATTTCATGACAAAAATTTTGTGCAACAAAAGGCACTATCAGGGTAAAAAGTTCACAGAATAGGAGGTCTGTAAATTGTATATCTGATAAAGGATTAATATCTATAAAATAGAGGCTGAGGCTGTGGCTCAGTGGTAGAGCACTTGCCTAGCATGTGTGAGGCACTGGGTTCGATTCTCAGCACCACATATAAATAAATGAATAAAATAAATGTACATGCATCTAAAAATTTTTAAAAGTCCTACAACTCAAAGACAAAAAAATAACCAGATTAAAATAAAACACTTTATGAGAATATGAATAACTGGAACCCTTGTGCACTGCTGGTAGGAATGTGAAGTGAAACAGCCACAGGGGAAAATAGTTTAGTATTCCTCAAAAAGTTAAAAATGGGCCTAGGGCTGGGAATATAGCTCAGCTAGTAGAATGCTTGCCTTGCATGCAGAAGGCCCTGGCTTCAATCCCCAGTATCACCAAAAAAAAAAAAAAAGAAGGGCCTATTATATGATGTAGCAATCCCACCTGATTGTATAACCAAAAGAACTGAACGCAGGGTATTGAAGATATGTTTGTATATCTATGTTCATAGTAGCATCATTTTCAATACTAAAACATGGAAGCAACCTAAAAATCCACTGATGAATGACTCCATAAGCAAAATGACGTATATTAATGCAAGAGTATCATTCAGCCTTGGGGGCTGGAGCTATGGCTCAGCATTAGAGTGCTTGCCTAGCACGTGTGAGGCACTAGGTTCGATCCTCAGCACCACATAAAAAAATTTAAAAAATAAAGATATTGTGTCCAACTACAACTAAAAATATATATATTAAAAAAAATTCAGCCTTGAAAAGGAAGGAAATTGTGACACATGCTACAATATGAATGGATCTTGAAAACATCATAGTTAGTGAAATAAGACATCATATACTATGGTAAATAAGAATGGATAATAAGCTGTTATAGGACCCCAGTTCCTTAAACAAAGAGAAAAACAGCCGCCTGAGTGTCTATGGGTCTAAAAAGGAAACATTTTAGAAGAATAATGCCATCTTAAACAAAATCTCTCTAATTAAAAATAAAAAGTAGTTTTCTGTGTTGTCCAAATTTGTAGCAACAGACATACCTTTATAATTAGAAATAGTGAATATTCTAAACAACCAAGAGAACCCTCAGGAGAGACTGATTAGATCCTTGGTAGATACCTGGTTGTTGACGACCACATGCACGGTGCCATGGGTGGTGTAGGATGGCAGATCGCTGAGGTGGAAGGTCTCGTACACAATGCCCTGGCCAGCAAAGGCAGCATCCCCATGCAGGAGGATGGACATTACCTGCAAAGCAGACTCCAAATGTAACACATCTTGACCACAAAACTCACAAGGTAAGTGGAGGAAATGAGTCATAATTTGCTTTTCAAAAATAATGTTTTGAGATATTTTAAAACTTAGAAAGTGGCAGGAGAGTACAAAGGACTCCAGTCCCTTACTCACCCACCTTCCTAACACCTTGGTACATTTGATACTCATCCACAAAGCCCTCAATCTTGTCATCACCTATTCTGAACATGGGAAGAGCCACAGAGCCAGTCAACTCTCAGCACCCCCTCAGAACATTCTCCTACACACCACTAGACCCTCCCATTCCCAAGAGCAATGCTGGCCACACCCACTTACTTCAGACCCCATGGAGGATGGGCTTACACTTCTCCCTCATATACTTGGTTGCAACACCTCTTTGGCTGCTGAAGCAGCACCTGTATTAGATGGGTTAACCCTGGTCACCTAATCAAGTCACTACCTGCCATTTCCCTTTAACTCACCAACTTCTTGGCAGTGAGTACAATGGTAGTATTTTATAAGGAGCAAACAGTATACAGAACATGTCCTCCTCATACCTCACACCCCCATCCCAGCTTCAGCAGCACTGACTGGTCTACCTAAGCCAGCTCCTTGGGTGGCTAACTGATGCGACCGCTGATTTCTGTTACTCCTACATATACTGGCATTCTCTGCAAGAAAGAGCTTACTCTTCTCCCTCATATACTTATCTGTATTAATACATATTAATGTCTCCTATTTTGACAGGTTATATGTAATAGATCAAAACCATTAGTTATTCAGATGATTGGGTTTTTCCATCTGGCTCCAGTCTGCTCTGGGCAGCCTGTCTTCAGGGTACCTCCTTGCTTTCTGGAACAATTGTACTGCAGCCTCATACTATGCTATCCCTGTCCAGTCCTGATTATTCCTGCAGAATATGAGATTTAGGACCAATACTTGTATGTTTTCACTAGGCCCTGTGAGCACAGAGCTAGAAAACACGTGGGTATGTATGCATGTGTGCCCACACACACAGGTTATTTCTGTATCTGTATATATATATATAACAAAATGAGTTCATACTAATACCTCCAAATTCCAACACATTTTTCTAAGCTGCCTCCTTCCATGCTTATCAACACCTCCAGCGGCCAGGCACTTCACTCCCACTGACTATAGCAAATGTGCTCAGTATCCTTGAGAACCCCTGCTTCTTGGATATACATGCTGTGCCTTTCCCAAATCTTTATATTAGTGAGGGTTCTTCAGAAAATCAGCCAGTGGGGCTAGAGGCAGGTGGAAAGATTGCCTGACTTGAAGGAACTGGACAAGCATATTCAAATTCTACAAGATACAGTTGGAGGCTGCCAACTAGAGGCAGAATTCCTGCTTTGGAACTTCAGTCTTTCTTCACAGACTATGAGCTGAGCAGATAAGGCCCACCCACATTGTGGAGAATCATCTGCTTTACTCAAAGTCTGCTGATTTAAATGTGAATCTTGGGCTGGGGATGTAGCTCAGTGGTATAGTGCTTGCCTAGCATGCTTGAGGCATTGAGTTCAGCCCCTAGCATTGTGGTGGTGGGGGGAAAGTGATGGGTGTCTGGCCAATAGGTGACACATGACACTGCCCCCTCACACCTTCTCATGCTGTGTCTCTGCCTATGGGCCTATGGACCTATGCCTCTAGAGTTTCCATCACTACCCTGGTCATCAGCACTCTGCCAAGTTCTCCTTGCCAGGAAGGGAAGGTCCATTATTTGATTACCAGGGAAAAAATCTAGAAACTTTTTAAGCAAAATGGCATATGTTCTATGTTTTGGTGGAGGAAGTGGATGGTCACAAGGTAGTTGGACAATGCACATAGTGTCCGGTTTGCTCAAGGTGCCCTTGAGAGTGTATAGCTTTGTCACAATGTCCAGATTGTTCTTGTTGAAAGTAAAAGCAGCTGGTATTAAATTTCACTTGCTCCTGATTCCCAAGAGTGCTGTTTCCTCCTGCAGATATTTTTCTGTATAAACTCCATCTCTGCTGACGAGGGTACCTGAGGTCAGTCTCCTTCACGTGATGTTCTGCCATGCAGCAGCAACCAACCAGAATCACCCTGTACACAGGTGAGGACTCTCCTTGGGTCTAGAGGCCTGACTTATACTTCTGGATTCTACTTTTGCATAGATCACACCATTGCACTAAAGACATGCTTCCATGGACACACATCCCAAAGTTCACATTAGTATTGGGAGTCAAATCAGGTGAGTTTCACAATAGTGCACAAGGTTATGGAACAATCTAGGCCCCATTTACACAAAGTATGTAATTTTTCACAACACTGAGGGTTATATAATACACACACTAGTTTCCTGAGTTGTGAATTGAACAGAAATTGAATTATTAGTAGCAGGGAGAATAGGCAGGAGGATGAGACTTCTGTTGATGCTACTGAGGACATGCAAGGGTTTGGGACAAGGTGGACACAACTCAGAAGAAAAGCTGGGGCCAACTACATTGAGGTCAGACAAAACATGCATATAGACAGTACCACATCCTAAAACACAGGCATTGATAGCTCAGACTTGGATACATGTAGGTGTGCAAGTGAATGGGGGCTAGCTATCCTCCTTGTTCTGACATCACAAAAGGACCAATTACTGTGACCACAGGTAGCAATTTTAAATATCAGTTGTCACTTTTTCTGTTATTTGATTCCTTTTCAAGATATCTCTAGCACACAAAGCTTTTTGCAAACTTGTCCCACTACTCAGCATGCTAGCAAGGTCATGGAAATGACACTGGTCACCCCAACGCTGGTCTGCCATGCTAATTTCTCCTGGGACCAGCCCCTACCAGACATCCCAGTGTTGTAAAGTGGATGTGGGAGCTGCATGTCTCTCAACAGAGCTGAGGCCTCTCTGTCTCCATGTTCCTGTGGCTTCAACCAGACCATGAGTAACCTTGAGTCTGAAGCCATAGAATAATCTCTGGGTTCCTGTGACAGCAAATATCATCAATGAGTAATTGCTTCTAGCTCTTAAAATCACCTCAGCCTGCTCTACCTCCATTCTCTAAGCTTCCAAGCTTAACATTAATAGATTTACAGTATTTTAAATTGCAGAACCCTAGGAAACTAATTCTTGGTTTCACTCTATCAAAAGGCCTGTCCTCCCTCCTAGGCACCTTAACTGACCTGCTGCTCTGGTCCAATCTACCCTCCACCTCTGCTTGCACTTCTCATTTCAACAGAATGTTCTTCCCTTCCCTCCTACTTAAATTCTGCCATTGCTTCAACTAAACAGGACAAACACCTGTTCTATCAATAAGGAATCTGACTGCCTTTTATTCCTTACCCAACTAAAGTCCACTGCTATTACTCATCTTCTTAAGTTCTTTACAGTTATTCTGCAGTTTTGTTTCACATTGCATTTTTTTTATCTTCCAGCATTAATTTCTTATATATATTTGATTTAAAAAGCAATATTAAAATTATGAACACTTTTTAAAATATAGAAAGGTATATATGAGAAAGTAAAAACCCCATTATCCTACTACCCAAGAGCAAGTAGATTCATGTATATGTGTTTCCGTGTGTGTACAGGTAGGTGCATGCTCACATTGCATTCTTCTATTAGCTTCTTGATACATATTCTTTTTCTAAAAATACAAGAGATCCTTGAGAGCACGTTGGTGGTACTACTTCACATATCCACAAGAAAGCACATAGTAGATATTACAAATATTTGATTTTTCTGATTATTTGATATTTTGGTTGGGATCTTAAGGTTTCCCAAAGCTCATGTGTTGAAGGCTTGGTTCCCAGCTGAAGGTACTATGGGGAAATAGTGGAAACTTCAGGAGTGGTAGGTACCTAGTTAGAAGAAGGAGGTCAGTGCAGGAGTGCCCTTGAAGGGTATGTTGGGACCCTTTGTTTTTTCCTAGCTGCCATGATGTGACAGCTTTCCTTTGCCACGTGCTTCCTACCATGCTGTCTACCTTGTGTGGTGATGGATTGAACTCACGAGCCAAAATAAACTTTTCTTCTTTACAAGTTGTATATCTCAGGTATTTCTGTCACAGCAACAGAGAGTTGTCTAACACACTTGGTTTTCAGATCATCATTTAAATAATAAGAACTATACAATTTGTTACAAATAAGAATTTTATCCTGAGTTTAAATAATGGCAAACAGTTGCCTATGGAGGGATTCAACAAGAGCAGGCTGGCCAGCCAACATTCAGTATTCATTGTCACCCATGGGAAATGCCAAGGCAGGACCCCACCTGTCCTTAGAGATATATCCACCTCCAATATTGTATAGAGCACTCTCTGATATCTGTCAGTCCTACACTTTCTCCTTTAGGTTCACCCACACATTTTCCTTTCAAAGACTTTTCTTTTCAGTGAAAATGCCTTTTTCCATCAATGGTAACTAACACTGACTCCTCTAGACATGGCGAAGACATAAGCCAACTTCTTGTCTAGTTCTGATAGTTATAACTTGGGAGAAAGTATATCTATAGTACAACTGCTTTATTTACTACTGTTACTCTTTTTTAAAAAATTGGTTTATAGTATTTTTAAATTCCAGAAACTTTTGTTTCCTGGATGGGGCATGTGTGAGACATGTCCAGGTCTCTAGCTTCAGTGGTGAGCGGAGCTGTGTGTATAATGTTGGGCTCAAGGGACATGCCTCATAGGTCTTGGGGGGAGGGGCTCACCTTTTTCCCTTCAGTGTCTCCACAATAGAACTGCTCAGCTTTGGTCTTGCCCATGACCACAGGGTCAGCAGCCTCCAGATGGGAAGGGTTTGCCACCAGGGATAGGGTGATATTTCGGTCAGTCACCCGATTGATCCTGCGGTGATACATGCCCAGGTGATACTTCATGTCTCCGGAACCCTGACAATGCAAACAATAAATAAGTATGATGCTGGCCAGGAGATGGCCACTTGTCATGATAGACCTTCAGATGGATTTCTACAACCTGGACCCTACTATGGGAGAATGAGGCAGCCTTTTCCCAAGATTATCCCACCTAGGGCACAAGGAGAGGGCCCCCCAATCAGAGGGGATGTTCTCAGCCTCAGGAAGAGGAATGTGGGCTGCCCAGGGCTGGGGTGGGGTGGCAGCATTGCCTTCCAATGAGGAAGGCAAACTGCAAATGATTCCAAAGAGCTACGATTCCACTAAGCCTGAGAAACAACTGGAGCTAGGAGATCCCATGTGGATTCAGGATACCATGCTGGATGTGTTGTCATGTGGGAATCTCACCTCATCCGCTGCCTCCAGCTTTGAATCGAACTGACAAAAAATCTGCTCCAACTCCTTCCTGATGACATTCGCAAGCACGTTCAGCCGTCCCCTGGCACACAGGGCAATGTGAGTAGATCCTTAGGACACAGCTACTCCACCCCCTCTTTTCACCCAGCACCAGACACTTCCTTGGTTTGCAGCCCAAGAATAGTTGTGATCCAGAGCCAATATGGGAACTAAGCCCCTGGCCTCTAGGCATGCAAGGTCACTCTACATGGGCAGCAGAAAGTATATAAATGCCTCTAACCTCTGGCCATATTCCCCTCTATCCTCACATTAGAGAGCAGTCTTTTCTTCAAGCTAGACCCTGCCAAAGGCACTGGGGTTTAACTTTTATAAAATTCAACACAAAGCCAAACATCAGTCTGAACCACATGTGGCCTTGGCTGTGAGAGTGACTTTCTAGTTACACTGACACAGGGGTGCAAGAACCCTACAGACCAAGACACTCTCATGTATCCCATGCATCCTCAGATCACTGACAAGCACTTGAGGAGGAAGCAGCTGCTCACTTAGGGTCCCCACTTCTGTGCCTCCAACATACCACAGAGCCCAGAGGTACCTGTGTGGCATTCCCATTATTACATAGTCCACTCCATTCTCACTCGACTTGTCGATAATGGTCTTGAGGGCGGGGATCAGCACTTCACAGCCCTCTAGACCAAAGCGCTTCTCTGAAGACCACTTCCGGTGCAAGAATTCCTCAAACCTGGACAGGGAACCAAGCACCTTGAAGAGCAATGTCCCCAGGGTCAGTCCCAAAGTCACATTTTCCTAAATAATCAGAAAGTCCTTCAGAAGCCAATTATACTTGTCTAGATTTCCTTTCATGTACATGCAGCTGTGGCTACCACCCCCACATCTGCCCACCCTGGTGGAAAGGCTCACAAAGGCCCACACCCCACAGATGGGCCATAGATACCCTGAGAGCTTATGCTCTATACCATACCTCGTGGACCGCACAAGCCTGGCCAGCAGGGTCCGTTTCTCCTCATTGGTGAACTGCATGATTCCAGGGGTCTCAAACTTCTGTCTGATCCACTGGCATTGCTCTAAGTCATTAATGAACATGAATTCCACTCCAATGTGCTGGCAGTAGGCCATCTGTCCCCCCACCACAAACAAGGGATACACAGTCATTAATGAACATGAACTGTATACCACTGTGCTGAATAGGTCATTTGTGTACCCTCCTATGCCCCAGCAAAGGCATGTTTAACCAAGCACATAGCTGGATGATGAGTACCAACTGCCCACTCACCCAGAAAGCCGGGGAGGAGCTGGTATGATCAAGAAGGCAAAGGTAGACTGGGTGCAGTTATTGAGCAGCAAAGCAAACAGGCCCTAATATGACCAGAGAGACTTTACAGAAAACCCTTTCCTCCTGGATGTCTTCACAATAGCCATTATGGCCCTAGCACTGAGAGTTCCAACTTTTGGGTCAGTGGCTCACAGTTGTGACCCTATTTGGTTTTCATTAAAAAAAAAAACAAAAAAAAAAAACTGGCTGACACAGGCAGTTAAAAGACTTGCTGGATATGGGGTCAGGTGCCTGTTCTCTTCAGGGTGGAGGTCAAAAACAGACTGCCTTGTGGGGTGCAGGGATGCATGCCTTTAATCCCAGTGACTCGGGAAGCTGAGGCAAAAGGATCACAAGTTTGAGGCCAGCCTCAACAACTTACCGAGGCTACGCAACTTACCTAAGCAACTTGGCAGACCCTATCATGAGATTAAAAAATAAAAAGAGCTGGGGGTACAGCTCAGTGGTAAAGCACCTGAGGGGTTCAATTCCCAGTAACATTAACAAATGAAATAGAAAAAAACCCAGACGGCCTTAACTCACAAGTAAGGCCACCCACAATATTCTAGTCATTACTCAAAGTGAAAAGAAGGAAAATCATACCTAGAAATCAAAAGAAAATGATGCTGGGAAAAACCCTGGTTATTTAAGGTGTTTGTTTTGGTACTGGAAATTGAACCCAGGGCTTTATGCATGATAAGTAAGTGCTCTGCCTCTAAGCTACACCCCCCAGCTCTTTTTACTTTGAGACAGTTTCTCACTATTACCTAGGCTGACCTGGAACTTGGAATCCTCCTGCCCAATTCTCATGAATAGCTGGGATTACAGGTGTGTACCACAGTAGATGGCTTTTTAAGGGACTTTGATTAATCCCAAGCCATACCTTCTAATGACATCTAAGATGATAAAACTGGAAACTTCTAATTGAATGAGATGCTATCCCTATTCTCAGACCTGACATCAATCCACTGTCCCATCTCACCTTTGCAGACGTGAGGGGACCCAGCAGAAGAAAGTGTGCCTTTGTAGAAACAATCCCAGAGAGGCTATTAATGCCAACTGTCACAAAGGCATAGGCATGCTTTCTTCTGCTGGGGTCCATGTGAACAGTACACCTAGCAAGTAGCTCCCTGTCCACTTCCTCATCCTGAGTGGCCAGCTGGTAAGGAGTGCTACAGAGGGAGAACTCTTGCCTTTGTCACTACTGCACCCACCTTCACATAAAATACAGACTTATGGGTCAGGGTTGTGGCTCAGTGGTAGATCACTCGCCTAGCACAGGTGGGGTGCTAGGTTTGATCCTCAGCAACACATTAAAAAAATAATAAAGGTATTGTGTCCAACTACAATTAAAAAACAAAATATTAAAAAAAAAACACAGAATCATATTTAGGGCATTGCTCAAGCCCCTACTTTCTTTCTTTCCTTCAACAGGCATGATTTCCATTAATGAACAATTAAAAGCTCAGAGGAAACTGCTGTTTAAAATCTCTAGCTGAGTGCAGTGGCAAATACCTGTAATCCAAGCTATTCGGGAAGCTGATGCAGGAGGATTACAAATTGAAGGCTAACCTTAGCAACTTTGCAAGTCCCTATCTCAAAATAAAAAAAGAAAAAGGGTAGGGGTATAGCTCAGTGGTAGTCATGGCTGGAGTTCAATTCCCAGTGCTGTGCAAAGGAAAAACAAAACAAAATAAAAAAACACACACCTCTAGAAATTGTTTTCTCTTTGATGTTATCAGCACCTCTTAACTTAGAAAAGATTCTAGCCAGTGGATCATGTGTTTTTCAATGTCTTTGGCTTAATACTCTGGAGTCAAGGGTGGCGAGTGCTGGGCGCTAATTCTTACTTTTACTCTCCAGTTAGACAAATCTAGGAAGCCAAGAAGTAGCACTTCCTCTAATTTTTTTCAAAGGTTGCAAGATGACCAAAGATTATATCACAACCTAACACACACACACACACACACACACACACACACACACACACGAACGCACGCACATGCACTCTCATATCAATGTAAATGAAGCATCACCATCAGGCAAGGTGGTGAAGGGTTTATGCACATGTCCATATTCTATGCTGAGTGTACTCTGGGGACAATATTTGCTGTGGACTGGACCTTCTGGAGTTCAGGTTGAAATGTCCCAGACAGGAAAAAGCTTAACACCAGAGTTCTGTTCATCAGCTGTGCAGAAAGGAAGGCATCCTTTGAACATGCTGTTTGATCTCTACTCCTTCATACTATGGAATCAGAACTACTCAGGACTCAGGATACAGTGGAAGTTGACTATAGGGGATTTTACAACCTCCCATCCCTGATTATGCTCTTGGGAAGGAAGGTGTTGAGGGGCCTTGGAAGGAAATGGAGACACTATGGCTTGTTCTGGGATATAGCTTTCCAACCACAGAGCATACCTAAGGAGCAGATGCTGAGCTTCTTATTCAGACTCCTGGGAAGAGAAGGGAACTCTTGGTGTAGATGGTTATCATCTGACTGCTGTCCTGAGAGAACCAGATCAACAGGAACAACAACAGGGAATAGGGTGGGATATGTGTGCATCCAAGGTACTAGGGGGCAGGGTCACTTGAAGGATGACTGGTCAGTATGGGGCACTATCTGTGGGGACTAGGTGACAGGAGAACTTCCAGATCAGCAATAATGTGAACTGCTTAATAAACTTAAAAACCTTAGTAATTTAAGCTTTCCTGGTAGAAATAAATGGAATGAATTTTTCTATTTTATTTGACCCAATATATTAAACATATTATCTTTTTAATACTGAAAAAATTATTCAGATATATTGCACCTTCCAAGTACTCAATAGTTATAAGTGGCTTGTGACTCCCAAGCTGAACAGGACAGGACCAGAGTGTAAGGTCAGTGCAGTGATGGTAGTACCAGTCAATGGGAGGACTCGAAGTCAGTTCACCTCAGCTGAGCCTTACACTTTCCCTCCATTGACCACTCTTTTCTGGATGACTACTCCCTCCTGATGCTGGCACTGAAGTATGGTTTCTACCCCTTCCTCTCCCACAAGCTGAGAAGTGAATGAAGCAGCTCTAAGCTACTTGTACAGTTGTAAAAGGCTTGTCACAAACTACAGAAAGTGCCTCATCTGACATTCAGATCTTTTCTACCCAGTGTGGAACCACTGATTAGAATTTTAAATCAAGCCTCACTAGCTAGAGTCTGGGTTAATATCTGGAGTGGAAGAATTCTGGCAGAGGGGACCCTGGCTGATTCTACAGAAGCCCCTCAGGGAGTGGGCTGGCAAGTGTGACTCAAACTGAAGTGTTAAGGACATCAGGTGCCACCAATGGGTTCACAACTATAAACACCAGGGGCAGCACTAAGTAACAGTTATGGCTAACACTAGGCATGGGGGCCTCTCATACAATCCATTCTCCCCTCCGAAATGGGCACAGCAGTCACCCTTTTACAGATTACAGCGGCAACCACTAGCCAAGGTGGGAAGAATAGGACACAGGCAGCCTGATGCCAGAGCCAGACTCTTAGCTGCTGTCTATAATATGCATGTAAAGGTGTCCCCTGAGGAGGCAGAATACCAACAAAGTCCAGAAAGAAGCGGGGTGGGGGACCAGAGAAATAGAGGGAGTGAGCAGAAAATGAATAGTCATCAACAACTCTCCTGGGACCAGTGATTATGGGAAGTGATCTCTGCTCCAAGCCTGTTTCTTGGATGGACAGGACTCTCTAGGAAGTACTGCATGTCTGAAATAAACTCCTACTGGAATTTGTAAATATAAGGCTTCTTTTTTTTCCTCTATGGCTAATCAAAACAAACAAACAAAACCATTGGGTTTCTATCTATGAAATAGTAAAAAATAGTTGCCTTTTACCTCACAGTTTTTAAAAATATGGAACCAGGGAAAGGGAAACTAGTCTTGAGAGCACCCAACCAATGCAGGCTCTTAGCAAGTCTGCTATATTCTCCTAAAAACTGTATAGTGTTCTTACCTCCAGTCGACGGATGATCTCCCGCAGAGGAAGTGCTGACTCCTGTCCCCCGATGAAAGTAGTAGTGGGTAAGTGGAAGACCTTGTCGAGGTCAGACTCATCCAGACCATAGAACCCTGCAGATGATGAGGGACAAGGCACAGCCATGCAGGGACCACAGTTTACATAGAAAGGGGAAGGGATGCCCCAGGGGAGCAAAAAGAGAAAAAAAAAAAAATCTTAAAAAAAACCTGATATACATGAAAGTAAGTAATATTTTACAGCCAGAAACAGAAACTTTAGCAGTAAGTGGGAGCTGAGACTACTACTGGGTGTCACAGGTAAACCAGAATAAAGCTCCTATTATTCATGTTTTAGTTCAATTATTTATAATTAGTGTACCAATTATTTATAATTCGAGATAAATTTATTTCAAAGTCCCCAAAATAAAAACCAGTTTTGAGAGTGGGAACAGAGAGCCATGAGAAGGCATTGAGAAAGTCAATCAAAAAGCAGAATTAAGAAAGGAATTAAAGTAGGAAATGAGGAATTGATAGAGAACAGCACATCATATATGAGTTACATAACAATAATATGTGTGTATGGTGAGAGAAAAAGCTGGGGAACTAAGAAATGGGGGAGAAACAGTCACCCAGGGGCCGAGCAGCCTATGGAAGAACTGCCAGTCATAGCCACACAGGGCATCAAAAAAGGGGTAAATAGCCCCCACCGGACTTAAATATGGGCCTCTTCCTGGAATTCCCAAACTAAAGTCTTAAAGATGCTCTGCAGAATATGTTCATAAACACAGGTGTACCCTTTCTCTCCCAGTCCAATCACTCTGCAAAACTCATTAATGTTCACTAGAGTACTCTCTATAGGGAAGATGTCACCTCATCCAAAAGCATTTTTTTTTTCTGCTAGAGAGCAACAATAAAAGGGCTCTATTTTTGGCATTCCATGCTTGTTTCAGCATTATTGAAAGAGACTGTAAAATGGTACCAAAGGTTCTTTTTCCAATTTGACATCTACTCTGAAATAATCTATTGACTAGAAAAGGGCAAGAACACACTATAAGAGTTACAAGCACTTGCATACCTCACACCAGCACTTTATGAGGCTCTGGAAATGAAAATTGAACCTGAAAACAAGGACTCTGCAGAGTCTCCAACTACTAAATGGATGAGATGAAATATTCTGTTTCTTGGCCAAATTAAGTGTAAATACGAGCTGCTGTGAAACAAACATCCACAACTATGGACATGAATCTTTGGGATCAAGTCCAGGTCACCACACATGTTGGGCAAATGCTCTACCACTGAGTTACATAACCCAGCCCTTTTTTAAATTTTGAGACAGGGCCTTGCTAAGTTGCCCAGGCTGCCCTCAAACTTGCAATCCTCCTGCTTAGGCCTCCTGAATAGCTGGGAATACAGATGGACACCACCAAGCCCAGCTTTAGGGTAGGTGTTAAGTCCTAAAAGCAAGCTCTTTTTTGAGTGTTTACGCCCCCCCCCTTTATTAAAACAAAAGCCAATCTACTTTTTTTAACCTGGAGAATAGTGATGATAGAAATGGCTTAGTTAAGTCTATCCACCTGCTTCCTCCTGTTAACTCTACCAACAATAAGGACATAACAATCACTGTGCCTGAGTGAAACAAATACCTCTCACCACTTAATAGCCCAGCTTGCAAGTAATAGTCTCATGGTATTTATGGAGGAAAAACAAAATTATTTTTGAGAAACTTCTAGCTGATGAAAAAACTCAGGCCAGGGAATAGAGTATCAAAGCAGTGTTTTCTGTTTTGCTTTCCTCGGATTTGAACCCAGGGCCTTACTCATCCTAGGCAAGAACTCTATTACTGAGCTACATTCCAATCCCTTTTTGTTTTATTTTGAAATAGGGTCTTGAGAAATTCCTGAGGCTGACCTTGAACTTGCATCCAGCCTTCCTCAGTCTCCAGTAATCCCCTAGTTGGGATTACAGACATGCCCCATTGCACCCAGCTAAACTAGTGCATAGTTTGTTTAGAAAATAACTGGATTGCAAAATTAACCAGTCAAGTACATGCCCCTGGGTGAGAATTGCATATTTATTGCTCTCTCACAACATAAAGAATTGATAAAGGGGACTCAGCAAATGACAATCTTCTACTTTTAACACTCTGAATTCACAGTTTCTGGGCTGTGTAATGAGCTTCAGAACCACTGGCTCCATTTCTAGTGCTTCAGCCATTTGAGAAATCAAACCTACAAATGGCTGCTTTGGGAAGGTAGAGGACATATTTTTCCCTATCCCCCACTTAAGTATAATTCAAAACCCTGGACATTACGTGCAAAACAAACTTAATCCCCTGAAAGGTAGAAAAGGGCAAAACAGCTAGGGAAGTCCCTGGGTTTCCTTCTGCTCCAATATCCCAGATTTGAAGCAGAAGAACCAGCATCTCAGAAATTCTCAGACGTACAAATAACCAACACCCAAAAAAGTTGCTCTCTATCCAAAAGGCCAGGAGTGGGACAGCCTAGCAATACAAAAACCTTTTAGACAATTACTGCTCTTCATCAGCCAAAACCCCTCAGAAAACACTATGGTCCTACTGCTACACTCACGAGGCTCTTATGAGCCCAACCTCCAACCTTTACCTGGGGGTTTAAAAAATGGTCCACGAGGTAGTCCACATTTCCTCCCTGGGAGATAATGCAGCAGCTCCAAGCTTACCTACAGGAACAAGATAGTGCCTCCTTTCTCTCCCAGCAGAACAATATCCAGAGGAGGTCTGCTACTAACAGAAGATTTATATATAAGATTCTAATGCTTATAATTCCTGAAATATCCTAGTTTCAACTTTAAAAAAATCACAAGAGGAATCAGGAATATCTCAGATTGAATGAGAAATGATAACCTACAGACACATCATGATGATGAAGATATTAGAATTACCTAAGATTTTAATGGAGCCATCATAAAATGATTTCTATGAGCACTTTCAAACATAACAGTGACAAAAAGATACTGAGTCACAAAACAAAGTCAGGAAAAATTTCAGCTTTGTAAAAAACAACTCACTAAAGAAGTTCAACAGAGGAATCAAGGGTTAGAGAACAGTGAATGTGAAGTAGGAGGAATAGAAACTAATGAATACAAAGAAAACAAAAAGTGAACAGAGCCTCAAAGAAATGTGACACACTAATAAAAAAAAACTGCATACAAATATGGATCAAATTCTAGAAGAAAAAGAAAGGGTGGCTAAAAAGGTACATGGAAACTTGCTAGAATAGCAAGCTTAAATCCATGGATTTAAGAAGCTGAGTGAATTCATAGGATAATCCCCCCAAAATGCATGCCAAAACACAACATAGTTAAAATATCTGAAAATTAAAAACAAAGAAAAACTCTTGATAGCAGCCATCATAAATAAAGTGACACCTTAACTATAAGAAAAAGCCATTTTGAATGACAGAAAACCTTGGAACATAAAAGGAAGTGGCATCCTTTCCCCCCTTTTTTGGGTAGTACTCGAGATTGAACCCAGTGCCTTTGTACATGCTAATACATCTTCTAACACTGAGCTATACAACCTGCCCCAAAACATGTTACTTTTAAAGCAACAGTCTCATCGATAGCATGTGATTGGGTCATATAGTTTTTAAATCTACTCTTCTAATAAATATTAATTAGTATATATTTAGACTATCTATCTATCTATTTATTTATTTTGGTGGTAGTGCTGGGGATTGAACCCAGGGCTTTGTGCATATGAGGCAAACACTCTACGACTGCGCTATATCCCCAGCCCTGCCATTTTATTTTTGTTCTCTGTTCCATTTTTCATTTCTATGTGTTTCTCCCCTACCTTCCTGTGGGCCAAACATCTTTTTCATTTTCATTTATCTACAGTGTTTTTTTTTTTCACATACTAGAGGTTGATTCCAGTGCCTTATAGATGCTAAGCACATGCTCTATCACTGAGTTATACCACCAACTTCAACATTTTATTTATTTTTAAACACAGACTCCACACATTTTATTTATTTATTTTTCTAAATGGTGCCAGAATTGAACCCAGTGCCTCAGACATACTAGGCTAGGCAAGCACTCTACCACTGAGCCACAACCCCAGCCCAGCAACACATTATTTTTTAAAAATATTTTTTAGTTGTAGTTGAACACAATAGATACTTTTATTTATTTATTTATATGTGTTACTGAGGTCCTTGCATGTGCTAGGTGAGCACTCTACCACTAAGCCACAACCCCAGCCCCTCAGCACGTTATTTTTAAAGTGATTATCTTAAAATATTGACCGGCTGTCTTATTTATGGTTGGGTCATATATTTTTAAAATCTACTCTCATATATTTGCCTTCTAATTAATGCATTTAGATGATTTATATTTAATATAGTTGATACTATGTTGGGACTTAAGTATGCCATTTTATTTTTAATTCTTTGTTCCATTTTTCATTTCTCTGCTTTTCCCCCTGCCTTCATGTAGGTGGGTTAAACATTTATTTGTTTTTTGGTTTTGGTACCAGGGATTGAACTCAGGAGTGCTTTGCCTCTAAATCACATTCCCAGCACTTTTGATTTCGAGATAGCTTCCCTAACTTGATGAGGCTGGTTTTGATGTAGAATCCTCCTGCCTTAGCCTCCTGAGCTGCTGTGATTACAGGCATGAGTAAATTAAATGTTTTTTTTAATAATTCCATTTTTATTTATGTATGGTGGGCTTTTTTCTTTTGTTTTCTTTGTAGTATTAGGGATTAAATCCAGAGACTTGCACATTCTAGGAAAGTGCTCTACCACTGTGCTACATCTTCAGCTCTTTTTACTTTATTTTGAGACAGGGTCTCTCTAAATTGCCCAGGTTGGCCTTGAACTTGCGATCCTCCTGTCTCAGTCTCCAGAGCACTTTTGGATCACAGGTGTGATCCAAATAGCACACTTTTCAATAGCTGAAAGAAAATATCCAAAAACATCCTGCAGGAATGAAGAAGAAATCAAGAAATTCTTAGACGAAGGAAAATTAGGTCTGCCCTAAAAGAATGGTCAAAGGAAATTACTTAGAAAGAAAACAACAAATTGAATTGTAGAAAGGATTAAATACACATACACACACACACAAAAAAAAAAAAAAAAAAAGAAAGAAAGAAAAAAATGTGGGTAAATACAAAGATGGCTCCTTTTCTTATTGGGAGTGCTGAATCATGTCTGGTGGTTGAAGCAAATGTACAACAGTTTGGTGTGACCTAAAAGCATGCATAAGAAATATTTAAGGAAATATTATATTACAAATTGTGAAGGATAAAAAACTGTAGAACTATAAGAAGAGGTAAGGTTTCTACATAATCTGAGCTGGTAAAATTAACATCAGTAGTTAGTGATAAGTTTTGTCTATGTAATGTAATACCCACGTGAACTAGAAAAGCTACAGAGATTTTTAAAAAACACTATCTGTAAATAAGTAGAAATAAAATTTTAAAAATACAGATATAAAAAGCCATAGGAAGACAGGGAATAAAAGCAAAAAATGAAAACCAACAAAAAGAAAATAAAGAATAAACTATTAAACAACTAAAGAAAATAAAGAATAGGGTTGGGGATGTGGCTCAAGTGGTAGCACGCTCGCCTGGCATGCATGAGGCACTGGCATGCATGAGGCATGCACTACATAAAAATAAAATAAAGATATTGTGTCTACCTAAAAAAAAAAAAAACTAAAAAATAAATACATAAAAAAGAAAGAAAACAAAGAATAAAACAGTATCAAATATGATACAGTATGAAAATAAAAGGGTGGACAAAATATACTATGTAAACCTTAATGAAATGAAAGAACAACAATTAATGTCTGATAAAAATTACTAGAGACACAGAAGACAACACATTATGAAAAAAGATCACTCTAACAAGAAGACACAGCAATCCCAAATGTGTACATATCAATTAAGAGAGCTATAAAATATGTGAACCAAAAACTAACAGGACTGAAAGGAGAAACAGACAAACCCACGTTTATAGTTGAAGAGTTCAATACCTCTCTCAACCAATGTTTTAAAAACCTATATAGAAAGGCAGCAAGGATATAGATGAACTCAATAACTATCAACCAACAAGTTTTAACTGACAACTGGGTGGGGGAGCACAACCCAGCTACTCAGGAGGCTAAGGCAGGAGGATCGCAAGTTTGAGACCAGCCTGGGCAACTTAGCAAGACCCTGTCTCAAAATTAAATAAAAAATTCTGGTGATCTAGCTCAGTAGCAGAATACTTGCTTAGCATGCCTGAGGCCCTGTGTTTAATACCCAGTACTGCTGCCCACCTCCACCCCACCGCAAAAAAAGACTTAAAACAAACCTGACATTTATTTGTTTATGCTGGGAATCAAACCCAGGGTGTCATGCACAATAGGCAACTGCTATATCATTGAGCTATACCCTTAATTAACAATAACATTCAAGTTGCGATGGAATATATGACAAAAGTTTTATACTGGATCAAACAAACAAATGTGGTAGAACTGAAATCATACAGGGTACATTCTCCAACCATAATGAAATCAAACTAGAAATTTAATAACAGATGACCAAAAAAATCCCCAAACACTTAGATACTAAAGAACACACTTCTAAATAACCCAAGGGTCAAATAAGAAGTACCAAGGGATACAAACTAGAAACAAACAAAAAGCATAAATCAATGAAATTGAAGAACAAAGCAACACAGAAGCACAAAATGATACCAAGTACAAGTTCTCTGAAAATAACAAATTCCTTACAAGACTGACAGAAAAAGATACAATTCACTAATATAAGGAATGAAAGAGGATGTGATCATAGACTCCCAAGATATCAACAGCCCTATGACTAAAAATGAAATATAATTCATAAATAAAAAGCTCCCGAAAAAGTAATTTCTAAGTCCAGATGGTTTTGCTGGAAAATTCATATATTCAAAGACATAACACCAATTCTATACAATATCTTCCAGGAAACAAGGAATACTTCTCAACTTCTCCTAAATGGATCAGTAAGTTTAACACAATTCCTATCAAAATGTAGGCAAGTTTTTAAGCAGACACTTATTCTAAAATTTACATAGAAAGAAAACAGCCCTAGGCTAGCCAAAACAACTTTGAAAATGGAAAATAAAATTCAGCAGCTATGATAATTGAGACAGTGTGATACCATGGAAGGATAGATACAAGAGTAAGAGAAAATAGAAAACCCAGAAATAGATCCATATGAGTCCTACTGATTTTTGACAAAGATACAAAAATAACTCGATGAAAAATATTTGGTATCTAGGGCTAAGAGACTTGACAACAAAAGCACCATACCTAACCTGGATGTCAAAGTTAAACATTTTTGCTCTGCAAAAGACTCTATTAGCCAAAGAGTGGAAACAATCAAGAGGTCTTTCTGTGAGTGAAGAGTTAAAAGTTAACTGCATTACATTCATTCAATGGAATTCCACTCAGCAGCAAAAAGGAACAAACCATGATACACACCAATCTGAGGGTATCATTAGAAAAGTACACTGACTTAAAAATGCCAATCCCAAAAGATTACATACCGTGTTTCCATTTCTATGGCATCTGAAAATGACGGAATTACGGAAATGGAGAACACAATAGTGGTTGCTACCGGTTAAGCATGGTGTGTAGGGTGGAAAGGAAGGGATCTGCGGTGTCCTGCCACAATGTGTGCTGCAGTTTTATAAGCTAGCACCACTGAGTGCACCAAACTGGCTAAAGCACATAAGATCATTCTTTTATTTCTTAGAACTGCACATGAATCTATAATTATCTCAAAATAAAAAGCTGAATTAAAAAATAGCATCTCACAGATATATGTCTAAGACAGAAGAAAAAGAGAACATCTTAAGGGAAGCCAAGAGTGGAAGGAAGAAACTGGACACAGGTTGGGGAGAGGGTAGGTGGGAGGAGATGACAGCAGGCAAATGACCCCAGCACTTCAACTCTGGATTCCTCAAGGGTGTTCTGCTCAGAACCAAGGAGGTCATATGAAAAGGGTTCCTACAAAGTTTTTATTAATACTTTTTTTGTCCTTCAAATATGGAACATTTTGGAAATCTTGTCTAAAATGCCCAGAAAACAGAATCTGGAAGAATCCAGGGTCAGCCAAAGCCACAATACACAATGTGGAGGATGGGACAAGCCACCATGCAGAGCTGATATAGCCTCAGGTTGCCAGCTGGCTGCAGCAGGAGCTAAAAGTGAACTATGCTGAAGATGGAAGCTTACGGTGAAGCAATGAAGAAATGCAAGTCTAGATGAAGGATGCTCTTCAAAACACAAATTGAACAGAAATAAATGACACCAGATACATAGCTCCACTTATTGGTTAATAACTAAATAAAGGGGGGATAAAAGGTATTTCCAAACAATAAACTTTAAAATGCTAATAGAAGTTGTATCAACTTTCCCCAAATGACATGCTAGGAAAAGTTGCACATCCTATTCAAATGAAGTCCTGAACTCCAGAAAGGTGAAAGGCTCATTATTTTCATACCTCCTACTGTTAGCATTCGAAGTCGTTCCTTGAAAACTGCAAGATCTGAGAGGCAGAGTGGGGTAGCATGGGTGAGCGCAGAAGGAAAAAGACAGGTGAAAATTAGTTTAAAACCCAAACACCAAACCCTATACCATTATCACAGTTAACAGGTAGCACAGACATAGCCACATGGACACACACACTGAAGGAGACAAGGGTGGGTTATGTAGTCAGGGGATCAAACATTGAAAGTTGTTTTGGTAAATGTGGGACTTGTTCATAGAACAGCTGGAACAAGGTGAATTAGGAGAGGCAGCCCCTCCACTGACACTGGGAAGCCATCAGGCAGCGTCGTTTGATCTCCTCTCCTAGCCTGCAGAAGGTGTGAACACAGTGCTTTTCTGGGAAGTTACATACACTCCTGTTCTAGGCAACTGTGGGATGAAAAACGGAGGAAAAGAAAATGAAAAAGACTGATTTGTAGGGTAGCCATTTATCAGAACAGAATTCAGATAGCTGTCTAGACTCGAAACTTTAAGATTCTGAAAGATTCTAAAGAACAAAGTGAGTCCTTGGTCTTGCCTCACAAGATGGCAAAACTGGAATAGAGAAATTGGTAGTTGAGACTATCCTAAGAGTCCCAGATATACACAACTGGGCATAGCTGCACATTTTCTTTCTACCTGTGAGCTTTTCAGCACATTTCTACCCTTTCTATACCATTAGTGAAAATCAAGATATTTATCTAGATAAATAAAATACCTGACCCACATCATGGATCTGGTGGCTAAGGGTCAGGGTTAGGAAGGTAGGTGGTAATGGATGCATAGAAGGACTGATGGTTCAGCTCTGAGCCATGGTCACTGACACTGTGAATGCTCATGACCCTGGGCATGCAGAGAAACGTCAATTAAATGCTTCCTTTCATGCTAGTAGTGAACAATAGTTGAAGAGTACAGGTGTATCAGAGCTGGAGGAGATGGAGCTGCTGAGGATGTAGTTATGGCAGTTCCAAATGAAGCACAGGGAAGTGAAGTTGGAAGCTAGTGTGACAAGGTTTACCAGTTCCTGGTGTCTAAGTCAAAGATCTTCTTAAACATTAGGAGTTTCTGAGTCCTTTGTCACTGTAATCCCAGCAACTCAGGAAGCTGAATGAGGACGACTGTCAAGTTTTGAAACCAGTGTAGGAAACTTAGAGATTGTCTCAAAAAAAAAAAAAAAAAAAAAATAGGGGCTGGGGAAATAGCTCAGTTGGTAGAGTGCTTGCCTCGCATGCACAAGAGCCCTGGGTTCAATCCCTAGAAGGTGGGGAGGGGGATGTCTTCGTGGCCAGGACTCACTTACCCAAGGGGTACCACACCCATCATGCACCATGGTTTCAACCCCCATGGGTATGATCTTAGCTTGGCCTGTCTCCCAAGGCACTGAGGAAAGCTCCCCTGGTACGCCTCATTAGTTCTCTAAGGCTGCACAGAAGAAGCAATGTTTGCTATGTGAACTGCTATCACTTGAAATTATAAAGAACAACTTTATTTTTAGCTAATATTTTTTATCATCAAAGAGTAAACAAGAGAGCCCTAGAAGGTCAAGAGGATATATGTAAATGTTGTCATTTTTCAACAGACTGGTAATGACACAGGGGCAGAACTAATTCATCTAAGTAGCTAAAATTCTGCTTTATTTTTGAACTTTTAAGTTGACTTTTCAACTATTAATTCAAGTTCACTTTCTGAAACTGGGTGGGTATGGGATTACATAACTGTAATACCAGCTATTCCAGAGGTTAAGGTAGGAGAATCAAGAGTTCAAGGCCAGCATGGGCAACACAGCAAGATTCCATCTCAAAAAGATTAAAAGAAAAAAAACATTTCCTAAAACTGTTTTAGGAATTTATACACACTAATGTATTCAAGGTAAAAAGAGTCATTTTCCTCAGAAATATTTATAAAATTTGTTATCTGGGATTCTTGTTTAATAATGTCTGAATCTTACAGTAAAAGAAAACCTCAATTTTTTGTCATTGCGAAAAATTACATAGAATTTAAATAGAAACCACAAATTATGGCATTTTTAAGTAGGAATTTCATTCAAATACTACACTTGACAAAGAAAACTCAAGGCAAGAGTTAATGGGAAGCCAGTAATCCCAGCAGCTGAGGAGGCTGAGGCAGGAGGATCATGAGTTCAAAGCCAGCCTCAACAACAGGGAGGTGCTAAACAACTCAGTGACACCCTGTCTCTAAATAAAATACAAAATAGGGTTTGGGATGTGGTTCAGTAGTTGAGTGCCCCTCAGTTCAATCCTCAGTAGCAAAAAAAAAAAAAAAAAAAAGAGTTAATGGGAATAAGACACCACCTGTTCCCATCTTAAACTAAGCAAGGAAGAGATGACTAGCATAGAATACAAACCCTAAGGCAACAGTGTGTAATCATGCCTACAAGTCAATCTGTTTCCAACAAGCAGTATCCTACCAAAAATGGCAATGAACCCCTGGGACTCAAGGTCTGGAAGTTTCCATTCCTAACACTCCAAGCTGGCATTTTGCAATATACTCTCATCTCTAACGTGGCACCCTGACCCATGATCCTTCATTAAGTCCAGCTGGCAAATTTCTCCCTATGAACCTTCCCTATGAACCCACGACCTTGGGGTGCCCAATCTTTATCTCAACAGGGCCCACACAGGACACAGGAGAAAAATCTACAGAATCTCACCCTGATGGAAAATGTGTAGTCAAGGCATCTCATATCGGAATGCAACCCTCTTTTCCAAGGGAAGTATGGTCCACAGTACAACCTGGCATAAATTAATAAGTTCTGTGTGCACACAATTATCTGATGGTGAATCCCGCTATCCTACCCTAAGTCTGCTGAGGTTCTTAGAACTGTAAGAGTGACTGTTAACTCTGTTACTATGGAGACCTGGGGAATTTCTGAGAAGTGAGGCTAGGTGCTGTGCCCTAAATTAGCTTTCCCAGTTTTTTTCAAAATTGGTTTAAAAATGAAACTCAAAGAAATAAATTCCACCTAATTAAAAAAATTTGTCCCTAACTCCTTAGGGACAAAAGCTCCTGCATAGGACCCTTACAGAACCTGGCCTATAAATCTCTTCAGGCTACTTACTTATATACTTGAAAATATACTTTATAATAAACTGGTAAACTTCTCTGAGTTCTTTGAGTTACTTAATTTGAGTTCTGTGAGCAAATTAATCAAAACTAACAAGAAGGCTGAAGGAACTTCAATTTGGAGCCAACTGGACAGTATTCTAAAGGTCCAGATTTGCAACTGGGTTTGAAATGGGGAAAGTCTTGGGGACTGAGTCCTCAACCTGAGGGATCTGATGCTATGTCCTTGTTGATGGTGTCAGAACTGAATTAAATGAGAGGACACCCACCTGGTAACCAGCACTAAAGAAGCAACTGCCTGCTTGTGGTTGGGAGAAATGCCCACACCATTTGGAATCACAGAAGTCTCCTGTGTTAATTGTTTTGGTGTCAGAGCAGGGGGGAGATGGCTTGTTTTTCTTATATACTTCCTAAATTTGCCAAAGGGCTGGTACAATGTAGAGGATACCCTACATTATCTAGGAAGGTTTTTTAAGAGCAATTACAAACTGCTAACATCAATTCCAGAATCAACAATATTTGACATATAACTTTACCTGATTAATGCCAGGCACAACTTGATAATGACTGTAGGGGAACTGGGCAATTGGCCTTAGGGACCATTTCTCTACAACCCTTCTACAAATGTCTGCAAGAAGGCTAATTCCATTCCCTCCCCAAAAGCAGTATTAGCAATAGGTGATCATCAATTTCATTAGCATGCACAGTGCCTGTTGTGAACACCCTGGCCATTTCACAATTAGTCATATCATCATTTCTTTAGTACAGGTTAGCAGCACAATGATGTAAAGCAAATTAACTCTGGAAGCAACTGCAGGTGAGTGCCCAGCCACAACACCCATTCACCTCTCAAGGAGAACAGAGTGCAGGCGGGTACACCTGGTACTGTGACAAAAACCCATCTGTGCTCCACACATGCACCTCCCAAAGGCCCTGGCCTCCGGACGCTGTGGGAATGCCTTCCAAAGTTTCCTCAGTGTGATCACCAGCATTTAAGAATTGGGAGACCCCAACTACACACCTTGCTCTAAAATACACTCTATGGGACGCATGGCCTCTGGCTACAGGTGGGCCCCACCGTGCATCAGAAGAGGACAGTTGTGATAGTCGCTCCCTTGCAAGGCTCACCAGTGGCCTTGTGGAAGACAGCACTGCACAGGGATATGGAAAGGTGGAGCCAAAAGAGCTGTTCTCTAAGCAGCTTCCAATTCACCTGCCCAGGTGGGCCAAGATTGAGACTTGGACAATCTGGCTGAAAAAATGGGATAAAAAATAACATGCCCAAAATACACTAAGGCTGTATTACCAATAAATTTCAAGTGATCAGAACGAAGGAAACTTAAGAGCCTTTCCCTCCTGCCTGGACATCCTGGCTGCCACAGGCTGTGGCACAGCGAGAGGAGCTCAAGCAACGCAACTGACTGCTCTCAGACCCTCACCAAGTTTGTCTGTGGATGAGATAATGTCAGCGGGCACGGAGGAGTCCAGATCAGCATCCAAAATCCCCAGGGGGTCCAGCTGTGCTACATGGTGCCCTCGTATCTATGAGTGGGCCAACGATGAGAGGGAAGGACACACACAAAAGGACAGGAGAAAAAAAAGAGGGAAGGGGTAAAAAAAAGTAAAATTACATTAAAATTAGCATTTACATATTAATTCTCACCCACGTTTGAAGAAACAGTTACTGGAGCATCATCAAAATTTACACAACTAATTCCGAGAGGATCAAGTTTTGCAATGTGGTGACCCCTGACCTGGAATAATAACACAAGCAAGTCATTAAGCAGATCCAGTGAGCTGTGAGGAGGGGTAAAAGAGTTATACTTCATGCAAATCTTTCCCAGAGGGGAACATGGCACTAATAAACCCATACAACAAAATTAATTTTAAGAAGTCAATCTTGGAACAGCTTATTTTAAAAGCACTATTGTGCATAAAATCACTTTCATTAAAAAAAGTGGGAAATATAAGATTCTCAGGTTATGATAAATTTGAACAGTCTGAAAAGATCTATTTTGTGGGAGCTTATGGTTTCAACAAAAATGATATATGCTGGGAAATTGTTAGCCCAGTGTGAAAGCTTCCTTTTGGTAGAATGTAAAGATTTCCCTAAGGAGGAAATGAAGGCTTGGGTGTTGGATAAAGCTGAGGAAGGGTACAGATGAGGCATCTTACTAAGAGATTTGCCTTTATTATATCTAAATAGGGAGTGAGGATGCTGGCCCTGATGCTGCATACAGATCAGCACACACATGGTAGTCAGAACAAAAAAGCCCACAACAAAATGGACTTAAAGCATTTGGTCTGAACTGTTCAAAAAACAAAGGAGGGGCTCAGGATGTAGCAAGTAGAGCATTTGCCTAGTGTGTGAGCCTCTGGGTTCAAACTCCAATACTATAGAAAAAGGGAGAAAAAACAGAGAATTCCAATTTTAAATTTCTTTCAGTTTTGGATATTTTACTCATAAATTTCTTGCTAGCAATTTGAAAGGGAAGTAGATTCGGAGAAGTCACTACAAGATCATAGTAAAAATGTTACTGAGGCCAACTACATGAAGACAGTAGTCAAGAAGGACTAGCTGTGCCTCTTACCTCTGGACAGGTGTGCTGTGAACAGTGCCTTAGAGGTTGGGGCTATGTCATTTACAGCATCATGCCCATCTCCTTACAGGCAGCACATGTGTGCTCCAGGCAGAGAACTCTTCTATAAGATCATGGCCAGAAGGACCCCGAGGACCCAGGGTCCTCCCAATTCTGCCTTATTACACATATACACCTTAGACATGTCTGCAGGATATATCTGAATCATCATCTCCAGGAAAGAGAGACACGGGCAGAAAGGAGAGTTCAGGGCATAATTTCTCTGGTTGTTAATGCTGCAGCCACATAAGAGACAGTGAAGCCTGGGATCCGATGGAAGCTCTCAAGAGGTACTTTTCTCTTCTTAAAACTATTCATAGATCAAATTTTAAGGGCTTTCGCTGACATGAGGTGGATGCTGCAAGATTCTTGGCTATTGTATTCAGAGAAAAAATGAAAGGAAAAGCTTAGTTCTGCTCAAAAAGCCTGATAAGGACTCAGCTGCCCTTACTCCTTCTCCTCCCTGCTTCTGTGTCTCCAAGCACTATAGATTTCTTATAGTATTCAGTTGTTAGCAACTGAGAGGGGGCATCAACCCACTCAACAGCATCACCCTTCCCAGTCAATGCCTCCTGCCGGGTGAGTAGCACTTCTTCTCAATGGCCAGGCTTGGGGTTAGGGCTGTGGCTCAGTGGTAGAGCACTTGCCTGGCACACTTGAGGCAATGGAGTCCATCCTCAGCATCACATAAAAATAAAATAAGGGTATTGTGTCCACCTACAACACTGGGGGGATGGGGGGGAGATCCCAGTTTCTCTGCCCAAAAATCTGTCATGCCAATTTATGAAAAGAAATAAAGAGCTATTATGAGGCAGTTATTAAAGACAGCAGAGGATCTGCTTAACTTTGGTTAGCCTGGTTCCCATTCTTTCGTATACTTGACTTTTGCCTCCCTAAGACCCAAAGGCAGGAAGCAAGCACCTAGAACCTGGAGGAGGTAAAAGAAAATGACCATAAACACTCAGAAAGGCCCAAGAAACACTGCATCCTTTTCCACATGGATGGTCAGCTCCTGCTCACCTGATATGCCCTGATGAGAGATTGTACCGCCAGGTGGTCCTCTACAAGCTTGTCGACGTTGGGTTGTGCATCCACCAGGGATTGTGCGTGGGCCACGGTAGCCAGGGAGCCTCGGCTCAGGGAAAGGGGGCTTTGGTAGGCAGTGCCCGGGGGAGCTCCAGCATTGGTGTTGCGGAAAAAAATGTCCCATGACTAAAGACAAAAAAGGTACAGGGTTACCTTGCTGCTCCCCTAAGTGGCCAGAGAGCTGCTCTCCAAAATTAGTCACATATACTACAAGCTGGCCAGAGAGCTGCTCTCCAAAATTAGTCACATATACTACAAGCTGGCCAGACCCATCTCCTCCTACTCTGGACAGCTTAGGTCCCTGTCTGCCACCAAATGGTGGGTTCTGAGTTTGGATCCCAACTTTCAATCCTTCACTTTGCCCTCAGAGTGCTCCTTCTATCAACACAAAGGCTCCAAACCATATGGCTCTCCTTCATGGTACACGCAGGCCTTGTGGCCAGGTACTGAGACCTGGAGACAGAAGTGCTCAGGAAGAAGGTACATGCTTTCTACCCCTGCCCCATTTGTCTGTAGCTCTGCAAACTCTTCCAGTTCTTCTTTAGGTATGCCAGATGTGCACACACTGCCAGAAGCACCTGGGTAGCAGCAATGGGATTGAGCACCTCCTTCAAGATCCTAGAGGCTTGGGGTTAGGGCTGTGGCTCAGTGGTAGAGCACTTGCCTGGCACACTTGAGGCAATAGGGTCCATCCTCAGCACCACATAAAAATAAAATAAAGGTATTGTGTCCACCTACAACTTTGGGGGCCAGGGGGAAGATCCCAGAGGCTCAGCATAGCCTTTGGGGTCCAGGGCCCCCTGATCACACCCTCTCACTATCTAAATACAAACCAGAATCTGATCCTTTACAAAAGGCAGTTCCTCAGACAAATAATCTCATTCCTATGTGGGGGTCAGAGATTAAAATTAAAATTGAGAGCTCTGTGACCTTGACAAGTTAAAGTTACTTAACATGCTGTGCTTAGTTCTCTAATCCATGAGGACAGAAATATATATTCTCCACAGGTGTGTTTGTATAGACTAAACAGAATAGTTAAAATCATTAGCAAAGTCTAGTAGGTAGCAAGTACTTTAGGAAAGCCAGGTGTTACTACCTGCACTTCAATTTCCTCTGTTCTACTAAAAACTGACTACTTTCCTTGAATTCCTATTATGTTTGGTTATTTCATGTTTAAATTATTTGATCTATAAGTTGCACAGACACTATGAATTATAATAGTTTATTCAAAGATGAATTTTAATATTTTAGAGATCAGAGATACTGATAAAATTCCATTACATTGCAAAAAAACAAAACAAACAAAAAAGACCCAAAACTGAAAAATCTGAAAGAGGAAAAAATTTTCAGTTTCTAAGATTCTTTCATCAAAAAACTCTGATTGGACTGAATTGAAAAATTCAGGAGAAATTTCATTAGACTTTTGTGTTCGCCTTCTAGGAAGCCCTGCCAAGATACCCACATATGTTCCTGTCTGGGGCTTGGGTAGATATCAAATGGGTCTGTTTGTGTCTGGAGACAGAATGGGTAGAGATGGCTAAAAAAAAAAAAAGCGACACTGGTCCCTAAGTTCTTCTGGCTTTTTTCAGACATGGAATTTTTATAACACCAAGACACAGACATACCTGACTCAGAAGGACCCCACTATAGAGAGCACACTATATGCTGCAGCCAGCCACAAACTAGAAAGCTCCCTAACACCATGTGTAGCTCCATCTTCAGCCTTAGACAGGGCATTCTGGCCTCTCACTAAAAACTCTGTGAAGGAGTTTTGTGTTTCAATTTTAAAATGTTCTACAATAAGAATATATTCCTTTCGAATTAAGATGAAATACTTTTTAAAAAGTTAAACTACTGGGGGGATATGATTGCACAACACTGAATATTTTAAGAACCACTGATCTGTATACTTTTAAATAGTGACATTTATGCTATGTGAATTATATCTCAGTGACAATTTTTAGATGTTTTAACAATCATTAATCTTTCTGGTTAAATTTCAGTGTGCCAGTTGACAGAAGAAGAACAATCTGAGGTTGCCTTCTGGTACCTTCCATGGCAGTATTTTTACCAGGGAAAAAAACTATTTTGTGAGAGGAAACAGAGGACCCCTCAAGCACTGACATGCTAGGAAAGGTCTGCATGCCTCCCACTCATCCCCTAACAGGTTCTGTGCAAGGACAAGGGATCTAGAAGATGGCTATGTATATACTTGATGTCTCCAGATACTTTCAATTTCATTGAGGTTTTCCATCAAACTCAAGGGAGTTCCCTACATTTTGGAAGCTGTAGTGATTAAGAATAGCACACCTTGGCTGTCCATCCTCCTGAAGATAGAGATAACTAGAGATCACACACCTTGGTGTCCATCTTTGTTCTGAAAACGATGATTAGGGACAGCACACCTTGGCTGTCAATTCTTATTTTAGAAGCAGAGGTAACCAGGGACCGCATACCTTAGTCATCCATTCTCAAACACATGGCTTTCCCCTGAAATTCTCCCTGGTCTCCAGGACTTAAAGGCCTGGCCTAAAGGGAAAAACTCCTCTAATACAGCATCAAACTAGACAAGAGTCAACCCAACCATATCTCATCCTTACCCAGCAGAACTAAGAGAAAACTGCTCTTGCTACACAAAACCCAAATCAAAATTCTTTACCCCAAACTTGCTCTAGCACTAGCACCCCTATTCAGTCTAATCCTGACACTCATGGCCCCTGGAGAGTGAAGGGAGGGAGGCTGGGGTTGTGGTGCAGTGGCAGAGCCCTTGCCTCACACATGTGGGGCACTGGGTTCAATCCTCAGCACCACATAAAAATAAATAAACAAAATAAAGATATTGTGTCCATGTATAATTCAAAAAAATAAAAAAGTGAAGGGAGGGGCTAGGGTTGCAGCTCAGTGATAGAACGCTTGCCTAGCATGTGTGAGGCACTCGGTTGGATCCTTGGCACCACATAAAAAGAAATAAACAAAATAAAGGTATTGTGTCCATCTACAATTAAAAAATATTTAAAAAAAAATAGAGAATGGAGGGAGGAAGCTGGGAATGGTGGCATACATCTATAATCCCGGCTACCCACAAGGCCAAGGCAGAAGGATCCCAAGTTTGAGGCCTGCCTGGGAAACTAAGCAAGACACTGTTTCAGAATAAAATAAAAAGGTCTATGCAAGGCGCAGTGGTACACGCCTGTAATTACAGCTACTCAGAAGGTTAGGACAGGTGGATTGCAAGTTCAAGGTGAGCCTGGAAAACTTAGTGAGATTCTGTCTCTAAATAAAAAATAAAAAGGTCTGGGGATGTAGCTCAATGATAAAGCACCCTTTGGTTCAATCTCCTGTACTGCAAAAACCAAAAATCAAATAAAAAAAGAGTACAGGCAAAGCGTGATCCTTAAACCAAGCAGCTTCTGGAGAGGAACACAATCCAGACTTCCCTTAACTCTTAAAATGTATCTTTCTTGTGTTGGGGTTGTAGCTCAGTGGTACAGCATTTGCCTAGCATATGTGAGGCAGTAGGTTTGGTCGTTTTGCACTACATAAAAATATATAAATAAAATTAAGTATTTTGTCCATCTATAACTAAAAAACAAACAAAAAAATTTTTAAATATATCTTTCTTCTTCTACTGTGGCTCCTGTTTTTTGGGAGGTAGTGGGTGGAGATTGAACCCAAGGGTACTTAATCACTGAATCACATCCTCAGCCCTTTTTGAGACAGGTCTAAGTTGCTTAGGGCCTCACTAAATTACTGAAGTAGGCCTTGAACTTGCAATCCCCTTACCTCCAGAATTGCTGGGATTACAGGTGTGAGCCACTATACCCAGCTTCATCTTTCTTTTAACATCCAGAACACACTAAAAAGTGTCCAGAAACACAGGACAAAGTCATCCAAGAATAAAAACCTTGGATTGAGGGGCTTCCTCCAGGCTATACTGATTCGATTTTTTTTGCCCTGGGGAACAGCAGTACTTTCAAATCCAAAAAAAAAAAAAAAAAAATCATAGATGGAAAAATCATAACTTTCACTCTGTGATAAAATTCGCTTTGAATAACAATAAAAATGGTAAAATAATCAACATCAGCGGGTTGCACTGATGGTCTCTGTGGGCAGGCATTTCTAACCGATTTCCAATTTCTCCCCTGGTAGAAGGTTCAGCTCAGGCAGTAACTGCCAGACAGTGTTAATGTGACTGAGATGTAATAACAGAAGAATTCTGAGAGAAAGAACTCTGGCCTCTCTAGTAAAAGTGCCACAGACCTCTTACCCTCCTCCAAAACAAGCCGGGAAAACAACACTGTAAAACTTCAAGGGTTGACAATGAAAGGAATTTGCACCCACTGAAGCCCAGGCCTGAGATCAGGGAGGTTAGGGCCAAGGCCCAGAGAATATAAAAGCTACAGGACTCTCAGTCCAGGTCCTGCAGAGAAGGCGGGAATGGCCATGATCATGATCACTGGGCAGGTCTCCTCTCTCTAACATTCTTTTGTGCTTGGAATAAAACTCCAGGTGATTTTCAAATGGCTGCGGACAACAGCACAGACGAAATTCTCCTCTTCTCCACCCTAGCCCACATGCCCCAACTCAACCCTCCAGAGTCAGCCTAGTACACAGACAAGGGCCCACGTTGACAAGGTAGCTCCTGCACTGGATGGAACTGCACACCCAACAGTGTGCGTCATGGTCATTTGCATCATGATGTGGTGTCACACTAAAAGGTTTTCTGATGGTACCGAGATTCTGTATCCAGCAAACAACTGCTCACATTTGGCATCATACTGCACAGTTGAAGTGGATTAAATTTAAATACAAAAATACCTCAAAAATGTTGATTTTTTTAAAAAAGGACTATAAATATGAAGGTCATCTTTTGGCCTGAAGACTTCTCCCCTTAGCATGCACAGCAGGAAGCCAAAAAAACAGCTGCCCCACCCCACTTGTGCCTGAGTCTTCTCCACCAGAACTGAGCTCACTTAATTCTGGGCAGGGGCAATGGGCCATAGCCCATCCCAATTTCTCCTTCCACCTGTTTCACTGCAATCCTGCATCTCTCCCCAGGGATCCCATTCCTCAGGAAACAACTCTTTTCCCAGTTTCTCAGCTTGCAGCCCTGTCTACATCATCCT